AGCCTTGGTAAAGGACAGAGGATACTCTATTTGACAGGTCAATATATCTGAAATGCGCAGGGAGACACTGGTCAGAGAAATAGCAAGCATCGAACTTAAGCTAAAAGAATCCTTTAGGAGTCAGGAATCGCGGGAAGAACTAAAAGCCATAAATGAAATCGAAAGAAACCCAAAGTATTTCTTCTCCTATGCCAAATCAAAATCGAGAACAACGTCCAGTATTGGGCCCCTACTTAAACAAGATGGGTCCTACACAGATGACAGCAAGGAAATGAGTGAGCTACTCAAGTCCCAATATGACTCAGTTTTTAGCAAGCCGCTAACCAGACTGAGAGTCGAAGATCAAAATGAATTTTTTTTGAGAGCCACAAAATTTGATTAACACAAAACCTATCCGATGTTATCCTGACGCCAAATGACTTCGAACAGGCGATAAATGACATGCCCATGCACTCTGCCCCAGGGCCAGACTCATGGAACTCTGTGTTCATCAAGAACTGCAAGAAGCCCCTAAACACGAGCCTTTCCATCCTATGGAGAGGGAGCATGGACACGGGGGTCGTCCCTCAGTTACTAAAAAAAAAACAGACCTAGCCCCCCTCCACAAAGGGGGGGAGTAAAGCAACAGCAAAGAAAATACAGACCAATAGCACTAACATCCCATATCATAAAAAAACTTTGAAAGGGTCCCAAAAAGCAAGATCACCACCCATCTAGAAACCATCAGTTACACAACCCAGGGCAACCCTGGGTTTAGAACAGGTCGCTCCTGTCTGTTCAACTACTGGATCACTACGACAAGGTCCTAAATGCACTAGAAGACAAAAAGAATGCAGATGTAATATATACAGACTTTGCAAAAGCCTTCGACAAGTGTGACCATGGCGTAATAGCGCACAAAATGCGCGCTAAAGAATAACAGGAAAAGTCGGTCGATGGATCTATAATTTCCTCACTAACAGAACACAGAGAGTAGTCGTCAACAGAGTAAAGTCCGAGGCAGCTACGGTGAAAAGCTCTGTTCCACAAGGCACAGTACTAGCTCCATCTTGTTCCCCATCCTCATATCCGACATAGACAAGGATGTCAGCCACAGCACCGTGTCTTCCTTTGCAGATGACACCCGAATCTGCATGACAGTGTCTTCCATTGCAGACACTGCAAGGCTCCAGGCGGACATCAACCAAATCTTTCAGTGGGCTGCAGAAAACAATATGAAGTTCAACGATGAGAAATTTTCAATTACTCAGATATGGTAAACATGAGGAAATTAAATCTTCATCAGAGTACAAAACAAATTCTGGCCACAAAATAGAGCGAAACACCAACGTCAAAGACCTGGGAGTGATTATGTCGGAGGATCTCACCTTCAAGGACCATAACATTGTATCAATTGCATCTGCTAGAAAAATGACAGGATGGATAATGAGAACCTTCAAAACTAGGGAGGCCAAGCCCATGATGACACTCTTCAGGTCACTTGTTCTATCTAGGCTGGAATATTGCTGCACTCTAACAGCACCTTTCAAGGCAGGTGAAATTGCCGACCTAGAAAATGTACAGAGAACTTTCACGGCGCGCATAACGGAGATAAAACACCTCAATTACTGGGAGCGCTTGAGGTTTCTAAACCTGTATTCCCTGGAACGCAGGAGGGAGGAGATACATGATTATATACACCTGGAAAATCCTAGAGGGACTAGTACGAACTTGCACACGAAATCACTCACTACGAAAGCAAAAGACTTGGCAGACGATGCACCATCACCCCAAATGAAAAGCAGGGGTGTCACTAGCACGTTAAGAGACCATACAATAAGTGTCAGGGGGCCGAGACTGTTCAACTGCCTCCCAGCACACATAAGGGGGATTACCAACAGACCCCTGGCAGTCTTCAAGCTGGCACTGGACAAGCACCTAAAGTCAGTTCCTGATCAGCCGGGCTGTGGCTCGTACGTTGGTTTGCGTGCAGCCAGCAGCAACAGCCTGGTTGATCAGGCGCTGATCCACCAGGAGGCCTGGTCACAGACCGGGCCGCGGGGGCGTTGACCCCCGAAACTCTCTCCAGGTAAACTCCAGGTATCCTATTATCCAGCAGAGTAAGCTACCACCAATATTCATTTTGACTAGTTCATGTAGTATAATGGTTCTGTTTGCAATATCAAATGCAGATTTTAGATCAAGAAAAGTGGTAAAACTAGTAGAGGTGTGTGCAGTGAGAAAGGTGGAAATACAGTTCTGCACACTTTTACCTTTCATGAACCCATAGAGGTAGGGGGAAAGTTGATGTCTGATTCTGTAGTACAATCTGTTAAGCATCATTCTTTCAAAAGTTTTGCAAAGACAACTAGTTAAGGAGATCGGCCTAAATGTATCAGGCTGTTGGGGCTTAGGGATAGGCACAATGAGACTATTGGTCCAGGAAGTAGGAAGAACGCCCTCAATGTAACTGAGATTATACAGTGCCAACAAAGGGTTATCAGGCACGTGCCTTAGAGTTCTGAGAATATCATAGGTTATACCATCCTCTCCAGGAGCAGTTGATCGACCTTTGGTTAATGCATTATCTAATTCATACTCGGTAAAGAGGCAATCACTCTCATCAATATTTTGGCTCATAAAAATTAATCAGTTTCAACATTTCTTCAGAAGTACTCTCTAAATTTTTTCTAATATGAGATGGAAGGCTTTCATGCCTGGGATGTTTTGGACCAGTCATTTATGAGGTCATTTGGTTTTTCAAGAGGAAAGGGATGAGCAACATTGCCAGACTTTTTCCTGGTTATTTTATTTATACCTTTCCAAGCCAAACTCAAAGGGGTGGACCTATTTAATCCACTAACAAACTGTTCCCATTCCTGTTGCCTAAGTTCTTCCTTTCTATTCCTTGCATTTGTTAGTGCAGCTTGGAACGTTCTGAGCAGGTCTGGGGTTCTACATTCACGGTATGCTTTACCAATCCTCTAGCTGCATGTGTTAGATTGCGCAGCTGTGGATCATTATAGTATTTACATTGGTTTTTATTGTTATTTATAGTGGAGGGTCTTTGTTTCCTATTCCTGCCCACTTGATCTGTGAGAACACTCTCAATAGTGGTAATTAAATCATCATTAAATTTTTGTGTGCCAGTGGGCTCGTAATTCTTATACCATTGATCCAAGTGGTTATAAAGTTGTCTCTGTGTTCTGGTTTGAGAATAAGTTTTCCTCCTTCTGTATTTAGCTCCTTGATTGCTGGAGATGTGATCAAGATTGACAGTTGTTAGTCTTGGGAAGTGATCAGATAGAAGATCATCAACTATGACAGAGTCATGCATCGTATATGATGTATTAAATCCAAGACACAGATCTAGTATGGCACCATATATGTGAGTAGGCTCAGTAGTGCCCACAATTCGAACATTATCATGCTCATTCAGCAATCTCACTAGTTTAGTTCCATTGGTGTTTGTAATAGACCCACCAATATTCTTATGTCTGGCATTAAAATCTCCAAGAATGATGGTAGGTTCACTATTAGATGCGATCTGGTAAAGCATCAGGTCGAAGCTGGTTCGCTGGGGCATAGAGATTAAAAATGTTTATGGAAAAATCGCCTGCATATACTTTGACACCATGATACTGCATGTTAACTCGACTCTGCAAGGAAAGGAGTGAATGTGGCAAGTTCTTTCTGACATACATCACACAACAGTTGGTTGACCTTAGGTTATAAGCTGCATATCCAGGCAAGTTTGGTGGAGGTGCTCCATCTTTCAATCTACATTCCTGCAAACAGATGACATCAATATTCTTGGTTGCACTAATATGATGTAAGTCAGGCAACCGCTTCCTGATGGAAGCAATGTTCCATGAAAAGATTTGTAATGTATCCATTGTAGTGAGTTATTACAATCTCTTGCTCATTATTATTATTATAATCAAAAAGAAGCGCTAAGCCACAAGGACTATACAGCGCTGCAATCTCTTGCTCATAAGATGGTAAAACTATGCTTTGACTGCAGTGTGCAGACACTTAAGAGTAAATGAAGAGACTGTTGAATATAACCTTGGTTTTTTCAAACAGCAAGTGACGAAACATTGTCAGAAAGGAACTAACTAGTAAGCGAACTTTAAAAAAAGTAGATTATTATTATTATAATCAAGGGGGAAGCGCTAAACCCGGAGGATTAGACAGCGCCTGGGGGGGGGGGGATGTGGAAGGCATTCAGACTTAATTCGGGGAACTGGAGCACAGATCCAATTCCCTAAATCAAGAGCCCCTCACCAACATCAAGGAACCTTCCTTGAGGGAAAAAAAATAAAAAAGTAGAGCCTGATGAAATTGTGAACTTTTAGTGTTTTTGTTTACAAAGGAAAGCCTGTTTTTTAGTTTGCCTATTTTTTGGGTTATATTTCTTCCCTGGACACCGGGAAGCAAGGCTCGATACTTCGACAATTGTCAATGGCTCTTTAAACTTCCAACAAGATCCTTTGGACTTTTATCGCATCTCCTACAGGAGGTTACTACAACCCTCTACTATCCTCCCTTGATTAATTTTTTATTCAGTTTTCCTTACTGAGCAGCTAATTTATTGAGACTGAGAATGTTCTTTATCCCCGGGAGCCGGAGGTAGAGCTCACTACAGCTCATATCATGGTGGCTCTTTATAACCCAACAACAACAACATAGATTAGGTTATTGTCAGGGACTTCTTCGCCAGCCTTTAAGGATTATGGAGCATCGATGTTTTGCTCTCTCCTGGTCATCAGTAACAAATTTTCCTCGGTCTATCTGGGCCGCTTGTCTGCATCTGCTTTGTCGGGCGCCTTTCATGGGTTTAATTTTAGTCAGTTCCATTTTTCCGCTTTGCGGATAATTCTCCAACGGTTTTATTGAAAAGCCGGTTACTAAACTCAGGTGAAGGTTTGGGCGTCCCTCTCTGCAAGTGTTAGTCAAGAAGGTTCACCTGATCTAATGGGGAACTTCAAGTTTGTATTTCTTTCTTTCATAGCTTAGTTGTGTGCAGTATATCTCCTCCGTATACCTGGAAGTAGGACTCGATACCGAGTAAGTTGTCAGTGGCTCTTACAAACCCAACAAGAAGATTAGGGAATTACACTATCATTAATGTAAGTTTATTCAGGTATACACAAATACAGTTACATAGAATTATCGTACATAGCAGCACATGTGTAGAGAACCTAGGATAACCCAAAAAAGTCAGACAGAGTGACTTATTTCCATTGGGGTCCTTACTGACTTATTGAAAGCCACTGTCACGCCGGGTTGTATGATAATTGTGTTCGTGTGTACCTGTTTACCTAAATTATTTACTAGTCTCCCAGGTACCTACTTCTTCCTTGCTGAGGAGGAGCATGAGTAAAAAACATACCTGTTTCTGGTCATTCTGGGAATTGAAGCTCGGTCCTTCAGTGTGCGAGCTGAGGCGGCTACCAGCTGAGCCACTAAAACAGTTGACATCAGCGGTTAACTGTGCTCCTGTTGAGGAGGCAGGTTGCTTCTGTCTGTGATTGGGTTTCACCTGGAGTTTACTTGGAGAGGGTTTCGGGGGTCAGTGCCCACGCGGCTTGGTCTGAGACCAGGCCTCCTGGTGGATCAGGGTCTGACCAACCAGGCTGTTACTGCTGGCCGCAAAAAAAAACTGACGTACGAACCAAAGCCTGGTTGGTCAGGTACTGACTTTAGGTGCCTGTCCAATGCCTTCTTGAAGACAGACAGGCGTCTAATGGTAATCCCCCTTATGTATGTTGGGAGGCAGTTGAACAGTCTTGGGCCCCGGACACTTATTGTGTTGTCTCTCGGTGAACTCGTGGTGCCCCTGCTTTTCATTGGGGGAATGTTGCATCTCCTGCCAAATCATTTGCTTTCATAGGGAGTGATTTTCGTGTGCAGGTTTGGTACTAATCCCTCTAGGATTTTCCAAGTGTATATTATCATGTATCCCTCTCGCCTGCATTCCAGGGAATAAAAATCAAGGGACTTCAACCATTCCCAGTAATTTAGGTGCCTTATTGTATTTGTGTGTGCCATGAAAGTTCTTTGTACACCTCCAGGTCAGCAATTTTGCCTGTCTTGAAGGGGGCAGTTAGTGTACAGCAGTAATCCAGCCAAGAGAGAACAAGTGATTTGAAGGGAATCATCATGGGTTTGGCGTCCCTTGTTTTGAAGGTTCTCATTATCCGTCCTATCATTTTCCTAGCAGATGCGGTAGATACATTGTTGTGGTCTTTGAGGGCGAGATCCTCTGACATTATCACTCCCAGGTCCTTCACATTACTTTCTCACTGTATTGTATGGTTAGAATTTGTCATATAGTACTCTGATACAATTTTAATTTCCTCAAGTTTTCCATATCTGAGCACATAGTTGAAATTTCTCTTCATTGAACTTCATATTGTTTTGAGTCACCCATTTGAAGATTTGGTTTATGTCTGCTTGGAGTCTTGCAGCGTCTTTGATGGAGGTCACTGCTGTGGCAGTCTGGGTGTCATCCGCAGAGGAAGACACGGAACTGTGGCTCGCATCTCTATGTCAGATATGAGGATGAGGAATAGAATGGGAGCGAGTACTGTGCCTTGTGGAACAGAGCTTTTCAGTGTAGCTGCCTCAGACTATACTGTGTTGGCATTCTTTTTCTGCTGGGTTATAGATGCTGCTTAAAAAGATAAAAGATAAATATTTTATTTCTTTGCAAAGGTTTCAGTGAGTAATTATAATTTTGATTTGTTAAGTACAAAGAAAGCCACTATCATGCCAGGGCATTTCAGGAAGGCTACTCCTAATACCAAGATGAGGCTCTTGATCCAAAGAGCTGGACTTGACTCCCCCCTCTCCCTCTTTCCTGGACTGAACATGAATGCCTTTCAGTCCCCAGGTTTTATATAATCCCTACAAGCTTTGCACTTCCCCCTGGTTAAAATAAATTTGATGGGAGTCCACCTAACCCAAATGAAATAGAATTGTTAGCCTCTCATTTAGGGATGCTTGTAGTATTTTCATTTCATTCTAGGATCCTAGATTGGGCAGTTTTTTTCCTCTCAGGGAGAGGGAAGTTAAATCCTTAAAGGTGCAAACCATGTGTCTCCCCAAAATTAAAAAATAACAAAGGTGTGCATAACCACTACAAACATAAATTGTTAAAAAATAATCCAAGTGTCATAATCATAAGCCAAATTATTGGTTAATGTCAAAGATCCTCCCGTAGTTATAAGCTAATTTTAAGGCTGCTCAAAATGCTCTGCATAACCAGGGGCTTTCTATGAAATGTGTCAATAATGTCAACTAATCCTATATCAATTGTACATATAATGTACTTTTTAGAAATTAATGCATATTATAATATGCAATCCCCTCAAGGAAGGTTCCTTGATGTTGGTGAGGGGCTCTTGATTTAGGGAATTGGATCTGTGCTCCAGTTCCCCGAATTAAGCCTGAATGCCTTCCACATCCCCCCCCCAGGCGCTGTATAATCCTCCGGGTTTAGCGCTTCCCCCTTGATTATAATAATAATAATAATAATATAATATGCAATGAGAATATACCTTAATAACTGTTTTCACAATCATGCTGTAGGTAGATACTTAAACTAATGAAGTAAATTAGTATCAATGTCTGGCTCTGGTTTAATTGTTATAAATGTTCCTGTTCTTTTTTTTTCATGGGAAGCTATAGGGTAAACTGTACTGCATGCTATCTTCAGGCATCCAGGGCTGAAGTCTCTCCTAAATCTTGCCAGAAAAAAAAAAAACTTGGAATAGCAAATGTGAACCTAGCCACTTAAATCTAGTGGGAGTAACACACACATGTGCAACAATCTAGTAATTTTACTGATTGGATCTAAATCCTCTACTTGTTGGTATTGTACATGTATCATTAATAAAATGATGTTGAAGTCTCAGGCTGAACAGTTTGCCCACTCACTACCAGGCTCAGGGACTGGCTTCTCCCAAATGCAATGAATATTTTGTATTAAGCACAATTTGCAACCTACACATGCAACAAAGAAGAATCTAAAATCAAAAGAATAGGATGTAAACTGTATGTGTATAAGAATAAGATGTTGATTGGTTTACATCAGGCCATACCTTATCCCTCTCATAGTGAACTTTGATGCTGGTATAGGGTTGTTGATCCTCAGAATTTAAGCTACTCTCCCTTCCTCATATCCAGTCTGATTACCACCCAGTCTCATTTGTATGTTAAACTTTGGCAGATGACTATACGTATTTAGATTATTAATATCTGAGGGTCAGTAACCTAGGGTAAAACAAAAAATCCATGCAGTATGGGCCTATTTCCATTAGGTGCCTTTTGGGTCCTTCCCTAAAATGTGGCCTACTACAGTTGACTAACTCCTAGGTGTCTATTTACTATGAAGTAACAGGCAGCAGGTGTTAAACTTGTCCACATATCCTACTGTATATGGGGTTCAAACCCAGGTTCTCTCAGTTGTGAGCCAAGCATGCTAGCCACTGCTCTATGAGGTGTCTGTAATGATTTAAACCAAAATAAAAATGATATTCTAGTATGCAGGTATTTTTTGTAAAGGATAACTATTATATAAATTGAAAAATTGTTTTCATTCCCTCAGTAATATGTATTTTCTCTATATTTTATAAGTTAAAAATATACTTTTGGAAGAAAACAGCATTAAAACATCCTATTTTTGTACTTGCAAAAAAAGACATAATGTGTAAATATTAATGTAAATGTGATAGCTGAGCTGTTTTAACTGAAAATGTTGGTTTCCCATGAATTTCATAATTTTGTGTTACTGTATATTTGTTTTTGCACATTTAAATATTGCAGGGTGGGACATTGTTTAAACGTATGGAATAATTAAGTGAAGAGTTGTGCTTCAAGATGACAAAGCTTGTTGAAGAGAAGGACATGGCAGGCAGCCGCGAGGGTGCTTGGGCAGCTGCAGGCTTTGCAGCTGTCTTGGTGTTAGTTGGGTTACCTGTGTGGTGGTATACGACCACTGTCTACCGTGCTCACCTGCCCTATTCCACCATCGTTAATCTATCTGGTCAGCCACTTTATCATGCTACTGGAATGACTCTTGTAGGTGAAACTACGGCAACACTTTCAGTGGAGTTGGAGAAGAATCTTAGATCCATGCGTAAGAATTTTGTGGAGCTTTATACATATGTTGAGCAATTATATACTATATTTGATATGCAGTACTGTATTGCATTGCTGATTTTGATCTATATATTAAGAAAAGTTACACAGGTACAGCATGTCTTGTAAATATTATATACAGTGTACAAAAATATTAAAATATTTACAAGATGGAGTTCTCTTAAGTTGTTTATAGATAATTTTAAATAAGGGAGACTTTAAGGGTTAAGCTAAAAGTTTTGGCATTTATTTTTATTGTGTAAATTTTTCAGTCTGTTAAGATCTTTAATTGTCAGATTGAAACATTGCCAGAATAAAAACTCGTTCAGCAAAGTTTTTCTCTGTTGTTGGCAGTACAAAATTTAGTTCCAGTACATTTTGTATTTAACTACTGTAGATCAAAGGTATACATGTACATGTATAATACTGACAAGATGGTGAATAAGAGACACATGCCTACCAGAGGCTTTATCAGTAATAAGGCATACATTAGACGGTATACTTGTATAGGAAGCAGAGAGGTAGTGGTGTGAAGGATTAGTACTGTAGTAGAAGTCACATAAGTGTGGGCAGGACTTGCTAGCAGAGATGCATTTTAATTTGATAGTTACAGTATAGGCAAACCTGACCACTACTTTCATCTCTTACTTCAGTATACCTTTCGTCTATCAACTTTCATTACGATTATTAATGGTTATCATAATTTTAAGCATAGTAGACATGTGATATCTGTATGGTTTCATAATTTTTTATTGTGCCCCCATTTTCCAAATTTTTTCCATGCATGCTCACAAATATGTACCACATAAGTTTACTCAGTATATTTACTTAAGAATTCATTTACAGAGGGTATCAAGTTCCAGATATCAAAAAGAAAACCAAGAAAAGAAGAAATAGCAATGATAAAGTCAGCTGTCTCATTATCTGACCTTGATAACAAATTGACGCAAATAATGCATGTTGCTGCTGGAACCTTGGCTGTATTTGTTGTCCACGAGCCTGACTTTTTTGAGAGTAATGTCAGCATAATTGTTGGAAGACATCGACTTACATATGTAAAACCTGGTGTGGGTAAGTTCCCATAATTTTGTTTACCCATCCACATACATTAGTAGGTTGGTAAACAGCAACCGCCCAGGGAGGTATGTACTACTGTCCTGCCAAGTGAGTGTAAAACGAAAGCCTGTAATTGTTTTGCACGATGGTAGGATTGCTGGTGTCTTTTGTCTGTCTCATAAACATGCAAGATTTCAGGTACATCTTGCTACTTCTACTTACACTTAGGTCACACTACACATACATATACAAGCATATATATACACACCCCTCTGGGTTTTCTTCTATTTTTTTTCTAGTTCTTGTTCTTGTTTATTTCCTCTTATCTCCATGGGGAATTGGAACAGAATTCGTCCTCTGTAAGCCATGCGTGTTGTAAGAGGCGACTAAAATGCCGGGAGCAAGGGGCTAGTAACCCCTTCTCCTGTATAAATTACTAAATTTACAAAGAAAAACTTTCGTTTTTCTTTTTGGGCCACCCTGCCTTGGTGGGATATGGCTGGTTTGTTGAAAGAAGATTTATAGAAATCAATTAATGAAATATTACATTTATTGTTTTATAACTCTTGATTTATCTTATCATTAAGGAATGTTCCATGCTTGAAGGAGTGATCTTACTGTATATTCTCAAATATATACGATACAGTGTATTTATGTTGTTTGTTAAATTACAATATCTGGGTATTCATTGAGTTGACAAATACACACCTAGAGTTCCAAGAATTAATACAGTTTATCACTATGAAGCACAGTGTAAAATTTTGCATACAGCATTGAGAAATTATGGTTTGTAAGTGTTAGAGTGTTCAGCAGAAGTTTGTGGTTACAGGAAAGTGGGTGCGGGAGGGAAGAGGAGCGATTGGTGGAATGATGATGTAAAGAGAGTAGTAAGGGAGAAGAAGTTAGCATATGAGAAGTTTTTACAAAGTAGAAGTGATGCAAGGAGGGAAGAGTATATGGAGAAAAAGAGAGAGGTTAAGAGAGTGGTGAAGCAATGTAAAAAGAGAGCAAATGAGAGAGTGGGTGAGATGTTGAAAATAAGAAAAAGTTTTGGAGTGAGATTAACAAGTTAAGGAAGCCTAGAGAACATATGGATTTGTCAGTTAAAAATAGGAGAGGAGAGTTATTAAATGGAGAGTTAGAGGTATTGGGAAGATGGAGGGAATATTTTGAGGCATTGTTAAATGTTGATGAAGTTAGGGAAGCTGTGATTTCGTGTATAGGGCAAGGAGGGATAACATCTTGTAGGAGTGAGGAAGAGCCAGTTGTGAGTGTGGGGGAAGTTCGTGAGGCAGTAGGTAAAACGAAAGGGGGTAAGGCAGCCGGGATTGATGGGATAAAGATAGAAATGTTAAAAACAGGTGGGGATATAGTTTTGGAGTGGTTGGTGCAATTATTTAATAAATGTATGGAAGAGGGTAAGGTACCTAGGGATTGGCAGAGAGCATGCATAGTTCCTTTGTATAAAGGCAAAGGGGACAAAAGAGAGTGCAAAAATTATAGGGGGATAAGTCTGTTGAGTATACCTGGTAAAGTGCATGGTAGAGTTATTATTGAAAGAATTAAGAGTAAGACGGAAAATAGGATAGCAGATGAACAAGGAGGCTTTAGGAAAGGTAGGGGGTGTGTGGACCAGGTGTTTACAGTGAAACATATAAGTGAACAGTATTTAGATAAGGCTAAACAGGTCTTTGTGGCATTTATGGATTTGGAAAAGGCGTATGACAGGGTGGATAGGGGGGCAATGTGGCAGATGTTGCAGGTGTATGGTTTAAGAGGTAGGTTACTGAAAGCAGTGAAGAGTTTTTATGAGGATAGTGAGGCTCAAGTTAGAGTATGTAGGAAAGAGGGAAATTATTTCCCAGTAAAAGTAGGCCTTAGACAAGGATGTGTGATGTCTCCGTGGTTGTTTAATATATTTATAGATGGGGTTGTAAGAGAAGTAAATGCGAGGGTCTTGGCAAGAGGCGTGGAGTTAAAAGATAAAGAATCACACATAAAGTGGGAGTTGTCACAGTTGCTCTTTGCTGATGACACTGTGCTCTTGGGAGATTATGAAGAGAAGTTCAGAGAATTGGTGGATGAATTTGGTAGGGTATGAAAAAGAAAAAAATTAAAAGTGAATCAGGAAAGGTAAGGTTATGAGGATAAAAAAAAGATTAGGTGATGAAAGATTGGATATCAGATTGGGGGGAGAGAGTATGGAGGAGGTGAACGTATTCAGATATTGGGAGTGGACGTGTCAGCGGATGGGTCTATGAAAGATGAGGTGAATCATAGAATTGATGAGGGGAAAAGGGTGAGTGGTGCACTTAGGAGTCTGTGGAGACAAAGAACTTTGTCCTTGGAGGCAAAGAGGGGAATGTATGAGAGTATAGTTTTACCAACGCTCTTATATGGGTGTGAAGCATGGGTGATGAATGTTGCAGCGAGGAGAAGGCTGGAGGCAGTGGAGATGTCGTGTCTGAGGGCAATGTGTGGTGTGAATATAATGCAGAGAATTCGTTTAGTTTGGAAGTTAGGAGGAGGTGCGGGATTACCAAAATGTTGTTCAAGGGCTGAGGAAGGGTTGTTGAGGTGGTTCGGACATGTAGAGAGAATGGAGCGAAACAGAATGACTTCAAGAGTGTATCAGTCTGTAGTGGAAGGAAGGCGGGGTAGGGGTCGGCCTAGGAAAGGTGGGAGGGAGGGGGTAAAGGAGGTTTTGTGTGCGAGGGGCTTGGACTTCCAGCAGGCATGCGTGAGCGTGTTTGATAGGAGTGAATGGAGACAAATGGTTTTTAATACTTGACGTGCTGTTGGAGTGTGAGCAAAGTAACATTTATGAAGGGGTTCAGGGAAACCGGCAGGCCGGACTTGAGTCCTGGAGATGGGAAGTACAGTGCCTGCACTCTGAAGGAGGGGTGTTAATGTTGCAGTTTAAAAACTGTAGTGTAAAGCACTCTTCTGGCAAGACAGTGATGGAGTGAATGATGGTGAAAGTTTTTCTTTTTCGGGCCACCCTGCCTTGGTGGGAATCGGCCAGTGTGATAATAAAAAATTGTTCTGAGTGCAGAATAACTTACAGATGTGCAGCTGTTGTCAACAGTGATCAAGAGTATGGTGATAGATCCACTTGCCAATAAAAGGGCTCAAGGAAGCAAGCTTTTGCACCAGCTACCAGGCATGCATAAAAGAGAAGCAATGAGACAGGTAAGCTACATTACCAAACACTAAAGAGACTGTCAGAAACTTTACTAATGAGAAAGTTTAACCTTTTAATTGTTTACTACATTGATCTAAAGTCACATTTATTGATGTACATATTATGTTTCATTGAAAATGGTGTCAAAATTTTCAGTTTTCCACCAAAACTAAGACATCTTGGCTAAACTTGCTACAATGAGAGGCATTTAATTTTGCCTTATCTCACTAAACTTATCATAGGTCAACATAAATTTATTGTTGCTTTCCATGTAGGTTGATGGTTTAACTTCAAAGGTCATAAGTTAAACGAGATGATGTAATTTATATCGGGTAAACATTGTGCATGTTAGTAATCTTGGTGTCATCCTTCAGTGAGATGGTAATGTTGGTGGCATTCTGCCCTTTAGTGGGATAGTAATCTTGGTGTTATCCTTCAGTTGGATAGCCGTCTTAATATCATCTCTCATCTTTGATGAAATTTTTTAAGCAGTTTCACTACTTTTGATTTCATATTTCTTTAACATTTATCATGCATACTGGTGAGTCTAGTATTATATCTCCATCAGTAACACCTGATCATTTTTCAACAAAATGGCCATATCCCACCAAGGCAGGGTGGCCCAAAAAGAAAAACAAAAATTTCTCTTAACTTTAGTAATTTATACAGGAGAAGGGGTTACTAGCCCCTTGCTCTCGAGTAATACCTAATATCATGTGGAAACTCTTTGTGATTTTGGGATACAGTACTCTGTCCAAAAAATTTCAAAAAAAAAAAAAAAAAAAAAAAAATATTGTCTTATGAAATGATAGAGAATCTTTTCTCAATGGTTATCACACCAAAAGTATGAAATTTGATAAAAAATTTACGAAATTACACTCTAGGGAAGTCAGCAATCTTGATGATATTTATGCATCAGCAATTTCATCCACTTTGAGCACTATTTTTTGCCAATTCCATTGTTCCAGTCGACTAAAATCATAGCTATTTCGCTAGAACCCCATTTGTTCTATCGCTTAAGAAACCTCCCATTTCACACAAATTTCAAAAGATGCCAGTTTCAAAATAAGGTCCAGAATAAACAAGGCAGACATTCTTGGCACTAAAAATAACATTTTCTCTGTTCAGTAGTCACGTCTCCAGGCCCCTCTTATATTACTCTTGCTTTCCATTTTAAATTTTTATTCTCTCAAAAAATAGAAGATTTACTGTTATGCAGACTACTGCATTATTATAATACATGTAATTGTATAAATAATGTCAACCCATTCGTGACTGCGTATTAGACTGGCCACTTGGACATGTATTGGACAGTGACGTCACTTGTATACTCTTGAACATTGGCAGAAATCGAACATTTCCGCTAATTTGAGCTCAATTTCAAGGTACTTTTCATTGTAAAACCAAACAAAGTCATCTCAATTTTGCAGCGAGGTGGCGGTTGAGGAGTGGAGATGTCCTGTCTAAGGGCAATGTGTGGTGTAAATATGCAGAAAATTCGGAGTGTGGAAATTAGGTGTGGAGTTAATAAAAGTATTAGTCAGAGGGCTGAATAGGGGTTGTTGAGGTGGTTTGGTCATTTAGAGAGAATGGATCAAAGTAGAATGACATGGAGAGTGTATAAACCTGTAGGGGAAGGAAGGCGGGGTAGGGGTCGTCCTCGAAAGGGTTGGAGGGAGGTGGTAAAGGAGGTTTTGTGGGCGAGGGACTTCCAGCAAGCGTGCGTGAGCGTGTTAGATAGGAGTTAATGGTATTTGGGACCTGATGAGCTGTTGGAGTGTGAGCAAGGTAATATTTAGTGAAGGGATTCAGGGAAACCGGTTATTTTTGTAGAGCCAGACTTGAGTCCTGGAAATGGGAAGTACAATGCCTGCACTTTAAAGGAGGGGTTTGGGATATTGGCAGTTTGGAGGGATATGTTGTGTATCTTTATACATATATGATTCTAAACTGTTGTATTCTGAGCACCTCTGCCAAAACAGTGATTATGTGTGAGTGAGGTGAAAGTGTTGAATGAGGATGAAAGTATTTTCTTTTTGGGGATTTTCTTTCTTTTTGGGTCACCCTGCCTTGGTGGGAGACAACTGACTTGTTAAAAAAAAAATAAAAAAAGAAAGAACAGATGTCAGCAGTAACTTGTTTGTTGAGTGGCATGAGTGAGTGTACAGGAAAGACCTAGAGTAAAGTTGAAAAATGTATGGGTGATTGATGGGAAGTATTTGTAGTTTTGAGAAATGTGTTTTAATAGGGACAGTAAATCAGTATTTTGTCCTTTAGTGTATTGTGCTGTATGTACAGAGATGAATAAGTATATATTAATGCAGTACACATATACATATACACTGTACATATAAGGGAGAAAGGGGCTAGTTAACCCCTTCTCCTGTATTAACCCTTTGAGGGTTTTGGCTGTACTAGTACGGCTTACGACCCAGGTTTTTTGATGTACTAGTGCGCCTAAATTCTAGCGCCCTAAAATCTAGTAGGAGAAAGCTGGTAGGCCTACATATGAAAGAATGGTTCTATGTGGTCAGTGTTTACCTGGAGTTTACCTGGAGAGAGTTCCGGGGGTCAACGCCCCCGCGGCCCGGTCTGTGACCAGGCCTCCTGGTGGATCAGAGCCTGATCAACCAGGCTGTTACTGCTGGCTGCACACAAACCAACGTACGAGCCACAGCCCGGTTGGTCAGGAACCGACTCTAGGTGCTTGTCCAGTGCCAGCTTGAAGACTGCCAGGGGTCTGTTGGTAATCCCCCTTATGTATGCTGGGAGGCAGTTGAACAGTCTCGGGCCCTGACACTTGTTGTATGGTCTCTTAACGTGCTAGTGACACCCCTGCTTTTCATTGGGGGGATGTTGCATCATCTGCCAAGTCTTTTGCTTTCGTAGTGAGTGATTTTCGTGTGCAAGTTCGGTACTAGTCCCTCTAGGATTTTCCAGGTGTATATAATCATGTATCTCTCCCACCTACATTCCAGCGAATACAGGTTTAGGAACCTCAAGCGCTCCCAGTAATTGAGGTGTTTTATCTCCGTTATGCGCGCCGTGAAGGTTCTCTGTACATTTTCTAGGTCAGCAATTTCACCTGCCTTGAAAGGTGCTGCACAGTATAAAAAAAATCCTGCAGCACGCAGTGCATAATGAGAAAAAAAACTTTGACCGTGTTTTTGGAATAAAACAGCGACTTTGCACTGTGTTTTCGTAAGGTATTTATTGTTGTACATATTCTAATTTTCTTGGCCTCATTTTATAGAATGGAAGACATATTACAGAAATTGAGATGATTTTGACTGGTTTTACAATGAAAAGTGCTTGAAATTGAGCTCAAAGTAGCAGAAATGTTTGATTTTTACCAAAGTTCAAAAGTAAACAAATCATGCTACGCGTCCAATACACGTCAACTGTTGAGTCTAATATTCTTTCACAAGTGCGCTGATATTATTTATACCATTTCTACACTAATGCAGTAGTCTGCATAACAGTAAATCTTCTATTTTTTGTAAGAATAAAAATTGTAAGTGGAAGGCCAAGGAAATATAAGAGGGGCCTGGGGATGTGACTAACGAACAGAGAACTTGTTATTTTAGTGCCAGGAATGTCTTTCTTGTTTATTCTGGACCCTATTCGGAAATTGGCATGTTTTGAAATTTGTGTGAAATTGGCAAAATTGCTAAATTCTGACCACTTTATTAGATAGTTGAAATAGGTAAATGGGTGGTTACTTGTACTCATTCGATACAAAAAATAGAGTTCTAGCGAAATAGTTATGATTTTTGTCGACTAGTACATCGTAATTGGCCAAAAACAGAGCTCAAAGTGGGCAAAATTGCCGATGCGTCAACATCGTCAAGACCGCTAACTTGGCGAGAGCATAATTCCATAAGTTTTCCATCAAATTTCATACTTTTAGTGTCATTATGATTGGGAAAAGATTCTTTATCTTTTCATAAGAAAAAATAATTTTTTTTTTTTTTGAAATTTGGCCGACCCTGAGAACAAGTCTCGGAGAGGGCCTGTCGACCCTCAAATGGTTAATTACAGGTGGGTCTCGCTTATATAGCAGGTTAGGTTCTGGGTTACTGCTGTAAAGTGAAAATCACTGTAAAATGAAACATTCCCTTTTTTCACTTTCAAATGCATATAAAAGCCTGATAACATATTTACATGAGCATATATTAAGTGAGCAATATAGCTGGGCCTAATAAATACATATACATTACAGACATTACTTACCTAAAAATATTTTCATCCTGAGCTTATAGCGAGTGGTGAATATATTTACTGTAGGAAATCTAAATAATTGAAGAATGGGTATAAGTGAAAAACGCTGTATTAGCGAAACACAAAAAGACAAAAAACTTTAAAGTGTGTTTCTTCTTTTGTGGATCACCCCATCTCAGTGTTGAAAATATATATATATTACTGTATAATTAAATCTAAAAGGCTGTATATATTAAGTTTGTAATTATAAAATTAGGTTGTAATTTGCACCTGCAGGTACCAACAGAACCAGGATATGATGTAACCTTAACATTGATGGTACCTGAACCTCACCGCACTGAAATAGACTGGGATGCCAAAGCTGCTGTTAATGGTAACTACTTAAGATAATGTAGGGCACTGTACCACCTAACAATTTAGGGGATAGTAGTGGGTTCTTTAGTACACATTTGTTCCATGTACTATATAGTCTGCACTTTTATTGCTACTGCGTATCTCGTACATCACTCTGTATATACAGGGTCAGTTCTAAGTACAATTGAAGATATATGGATGTTGAGGTTTGGTACATACAAATACAGATATGGCAATACTTTGGCATAAAATTTGGTAATAGATACCAACAAATTGGCTTAAAATGGCATGTGAGCAAACACTAGGACATATTTATTAGAGAACATTTCAGTCCTACCTAGGTAGTAGGTTGGTAGACAGCAACTGCCCAGAGAGGTACTACCGTCCTGCCAAGTGAGTACAAAATGAAAGCCTGTAATTGTTTTACATGATGGTAGGTTTGCTGGTGTCTTTCTGTCTCATAAACATACAAGATTTCAGGTACGTCTTGCTACTTCTACTTACACTTAGGTCACACTACACATGCATGTACATGCATATATATTCACACCCTTCTGGGTTTTCTTCTGTTTTCTTACTGTTCTTGTTCTTGTTTATTTCCTCTTATCTCCATGGGGAAATGGAACAGAATTCTTTCTCCATAAGCCATGTATGTCATAAGAGGCAACTAAAATGCCGGGAGCAAGGGGCTAGTAACCCCTTCTCATGTATGCATACTAAAGTTAAAAAGAGAAACTTTTTGTGTATGTTAGAAGTTATCATGGTCCCAGGATTGAAAAATTTTTTAAAAAGTTAGTTTTTACTCAGTGCCGGTTTAAACAGGCAATACTAAAACTTACATACACGGAAAAAAAATAAAGAAAACAGTGGGACATTTAATTGGGCAACACTTTCCCCGGATTAAAAAAGCCCCTTTGGAAAAAATGTTTCAATTAAATGTCGAAGTGCTTATTTAACCCCTTTTCAGGGTCCAAGGCCAAATCTGGGTCACGCCCCAGGGTCCAAGAATTTCAAAAAAAAAATTTGTTATTTTTTCTTTGAAATCGTAGAAAAAATTTTTTGTGAGGTAATAAAAAAAAAAAGTACGAAATTTTGGGGGAAAAATGACAAAAAATTTTTCTCTCGCGAATTTTGATGTGTCGGACATTTACGAAGGGCATTTTGCCGTTTTGACCCCCATTTTGGGCCCAATTACATTATTCCAATAAACCCAAAATTTTAGCTTTTTCACTAGTTTACTTCTTTCTATCGATTGAGCACAAGAAATCGCCAAGTAAAACTGTTTCAATACAAAATAAATTGATCGGAAATTGTTAATTTGGCCAATTAAAAACCAAAATTTTAAAAATATTCAATTTTCAAAATAGGGTCCAGAAAAAAAATTTGGATTTGGAACTAAACTAAGTTTCCTCTTTTCTTAGTTTGTTTTGAGGCTTTAAAAAAATTTCCCATTTTGTTTTTTTATTCCAAAATGAATTTTTTTTTCCACCAAAAAAAGAAGATTTACTGTTATGAAATCTGTAATAAGTATAAAAATCTCACCAATTTGTGAAGTTTTTTTTGATCCACCACGAGTGTTTTAGACGTGTGAGGTCGTTTGTTTACTCTTGAATATCGGCAAAAATTTAAATTTTTCCGCTACTTGAGCTCAGTTTCAAGCCATTCCAGTGCTAAACCCAAAAATTCTCTATTTCTGTAAATGTTTTCATTCTATCAAATGAGACAAGAAATTGCAAATAAAACTTAAAAAACATACAAAAAAAACACTGCAAATTTGCGTTTAACGAAAAATCATGTTTTAATTTTTTTTTCTCTATTATACCAATGTGCTGCAGGATCTGTTTTATTGGGCACCATCCAATAGATGTTTTCTCTCATATCGGGCCCCAAATGTCCCCTCACAGTTTATCAGAGTGAGCTGAGTCTGGCTAGTTTTGGTTTGGACCCTGAACGTAAACCGAATTAGGGACGGACCCAAAAAGGGTTTAAAATTGTGATTCTTTTTTTTTTTTTTTTTTTTTTTTTCTAAAACAATGGGGCCGTCTCCCCCGAGGCAGGGTACCCAAAAAAGAAAAGAAAACCCCCCAAAAAAAAAATACTTTCTCATCATTCAACACTTTCACCACTCGACATTATCACTTTTTTTTAGAGGTGCTCAGAAACAACAGTCTGAAGTACACATATAAAGATACCAAAATATCCCCCAAAAAACTGTCAATTCCCAAACCCCCCCTTTTAAAAGTGCAGGCATTGTACCCCAAATTCCAGGACTAAAGCCCGAAAAAGAAAAAAACCCGGGTTTCCCCTAAAATCCCTTCACTAAATATTCCTTGCTCACACTCCCAATGTCGGCCCCAAAGTACCATTGTCTCCATTACTCCTATCTAACACGTCACGAAACGCTTGCTGGAAGTCTGTACATTACTGAAAAACTGAGCGAATGAGTAATGGGAATTGTTTTTTCTCCCCATTGTGTTTCAAAAAAGAAGGTGAAATTTTTTTTTTTTAAATGTGTCAAAAATGTGGGTACAGTATTAGTTTAGAGGGTTTCCTATCCTTTTTTTTTTTTTTTTTTTTTTTTTTTTTAAATCAGCAGTGTCTGCCATTTTTTTCCTGCTGTCATTTTGTTTTTTTTATGTTTTTTGTAAAAAACCCAACATAAAACCGCCCTCCGTAGGAGGGGGAGGATTTTTCAGTTTGGAGGTCATCTGATATGAAAATTCATATACTTTGGCAAGACACAATTGAATAAGATAATAAATTTGTTTATCTATTTGGGGTCAACCTACCTTAGTAGGAGTTGCCAATATGTTAAGAAAAAAAACCCCATTAGGAAGGGGGATTATTTTTCCCCACTTTGTGTTTTTCTACTTATGTATTTTTTAAGCATTAGCTGGTTGGATCGGTTATGGGGAACATGGTGTATTTTCCCCCCCCGGCGTGTTTTATTGATTTCAGTCACTAAATGCTGCTTATGCATTTTTCAGGAACACATTCCCTTTAAGGGCTTATATCTTGGGAAAAATTTTCATCCACCCCTCCCTTTTGCCCTGGTTAGATGAATTTTATGGTGTTTTTTTTAATATTCTTTATTTCACATCTTTCAGAATACCCGGGGCCAGTGGGGTATTTTAAAAGTGTAAAAAAGTGATTGTTAGATCTCAAGTTTTATTTGTCTGGGGTGAATGTTTCTCCCAAGTGGTCTACAGACCATGAAAATTTTGCCCTGCCCCCGGGCGTTGCCTTACTATAAATGAAAAAGAAGCCAAATTTGGTGGTAAATTTGAGAGGTTTTTTGGGTTTGCAAACTATCTTACTGGTACAGTGGAACTTGGTTTTCGTACTTAATCCATTCCCAAAGGGATTCTAAATCGAAAAAGTACGAAACCGAATTAATATTTTCCCCCAAGAATAATGTAAATACAATAAACCTTTTCCACACCCAAAAATATTAACAAAAAAACTTTTTTAAAGAATAACAATAATTTTCTCAAAAAAAGATTAGAAATAAATATAAAGACTAATTTTAATGATAAATGAACATTACATACCCTTTTTTTGAGACTTTTGTTGGTGTTGGAAGAAGGTGAGGAGGAGAAGGGGGTCAAAGGGAAATTTTTTGTAAGGGGAAACCCCCCCCATGGACTTTAGGATCAAAACCCTCTTGGGGTTTTCTTCCTTATTTGTCTTTTATGGTATGGCTCCTGCCATAAAAAAGTCCAGGAGCTCTGTCTCTGGCATTCTTTAAAATTTTTTAAAAAGGGACAAGGGATTGTCACTGAAACTGTTGCAGATACGGCTTTAGAGTTGGTCAGGGTGATATTTTTCAACAAAAGTTTGCAACGTATTCCATCATTCCACTTTGCACACATCTTTAAACACTGAAGAAGGCACCTTTCCCCTCTTCCCTTTCCCCCCTCTAAGCAATTTCCTCAGCTTCATATTTTTCTACACTCTCTTTTTTGAATTCTATTGGTTTCTCACCTTCTTACCATAGGGTGGGTAGAACTTTCTTTTTGGGGCCCCTGGTGGCTTAAATTTTGAGTCACAATCAATAAACAAGCAAAATTGCAAAATGTTTCGGATGAATGCTCACTCAAAAACCCGTGAAAAGCCAGAAAAGATTTCGTCCCCGGGGCGACGATAGATATGTAATTTGGATTGGGGGACGAAATCCGGACCAAAAAGTTGCCCAAAAAGGGGTTTTAAACTGAAAATTTTACAATTTTGCGGACCTACGAAAACCAGATCCCCCTTATTAAACTATGTTTCTAAATTTTTTTAAAAGGGAAAAAAAATGGGAAAAAATAATTTTCATTATTCACTATAACAAAATAAAGTAATAAATTATTGTTAAACTATGACAATGTGAATTTATTTGTTGTTTTTTCTTGAAACTGTTAATTTTCCTTTTTTACAAGCTGTTCTATTTCTAAAAAATTCCAAAAAATGAATTTCCCGCAAGTTTGCTTCAGCAAGAAAAACTTTGTAAAATATGTAATTCGTTTACGGAGTCGTAAAAATGTTTTGGATTACTGCCTTATGTTTTGGTTTTTTTTGGGATTTCTGGCGTAATTACTTATTTGGTTTTTTGTGAAAGGGGATGAAATGTCAGTCCTGGTCTTGCCCTCTCTTTTTATTGACTGATGTATGGAATACAAATTTTAGAGTAGAAATAGAAACTAGCTTGGCTCCTCAGTAAATGTTTGAACATGAACCCTTTTAATGTTAACCTAATATCTGTCACTTGCCCCCACATATTTCTTTTTTTTTTTGGTCATTGTCTGGGGGGCAGGCCCTCATTACACTTTGTCTATATATTCCCCCGGAAAACAAATGCCCTCAATCCCTCCCCAGATGGGAAACCCCCGAAACAAAAGGGGAATTTATATGTTATCTTGAATTCGTATGAAAAGAAATTGATAGCACCACTCTTCCCCCCGCACTGTTAAGGGATTATAACAAAAAGAAGCCTAAGCCACAAGGGCATACACGCTGTAGTAAGTAAAGGAGGATTACCAAGTCTTTTTGTTTTACTTGCTTCATAAGCAGTCTTTTCCCCATTAAAATTTTTCTTCTCTCTTATTTAGCCCGTCCCCCTTTCCTTGCCTTTATTTCAATCTTCACTTACTAACTCCAATTATTAACTTTTTTTTTTTTTTTTTTTTTTTTTTTTTTTTTTTTTTTTTTTTTGCTATCTCCTATAACTACTTTCAGATAATTGCACAGATCCTATAAACATTTTGCCACCATTATATTTAATGTGTTTTTTTACATCCTCTGTATTAAATTCATATTTCTTTTCTATCAATTGGGATGGCTTAATGTGCTTATATTAGCTTACATTATCAGTTTCCAATTCCAAGTGAAAACTTGGGAAATTTTCCCCCCATTTCCTGATCAGCCAAGATTTAGTACATATATTGGAAAGCAGGCAGATAGCATCAACAGCCTGAGTAACCAGGCCATCAACCAAGAGGCCTAGTCTAAGACTAGTCTAAGACTAGTCTAAGACTAGGCCATGGGGAACAATGATCCCTGGAACCATTTAAGGGTAAGTAGTCTATGAAGTAATAGTCATCAGACAAAATTATCCCTCAAGAAAAGTATAACTTATGAAAGTCTCAGGATTGTAAATTTGAACTCAGTGTACTGGGATATGATCTAAATTTTGACCTCGTATGTACAAGTTGAAAGCTATGCCTTCGACTACATTACAAGGTTTGATAAAATTTAATATCAAAGCATGCCTCAGAGGTCAAAGTGTTTGCAAATTTTATATTGCTAACATAATACAATTAAAAGTAAACTAGGAAATCACTAACTTAATCTGACAAATGTGGTAAAATAGTGATACTCATAGAAATTGGCTGTCTTCATTTGTCATGGCCATAAGTTAGATTTTTAATAAGTAAGCAGGAAATTTATTTTTTATTTTTTTATTTTTTTTTTTATTATCACACTGGCCGATTCCCACCAAGGCAGGGTGGCCTGAAAAAGAAAAACTTTCACCATCATTCACTCCATCACTGTCTTGCCAGAAGGGTGCTTTACACTACAGTTTTTAAACTGCAACATTAACACCCCTCCTTCAGAGTGCAGGCACTGTACTTCCCATCTCCAGGACTCAAGTCCGGCCTGCCAGTTTCCCTGAATCCCTTCATAAATGTTACTTTGCTCACACTCCAACAGCACGTCAAGTATTAAAAACCATTTGTCTCCATTCACTCCTATCAAATACGCTCACGCATGCCTTCCCAAAAATAATTGAGGTGGGAAAGCACATCAGTTATCAGTCAGCAGATTCATTTTGTTAATGTATGCTTGTATGTTGCAGCTTCTTAGTCCCACGTTGGGGTGGGGTGATGATTCACAACATACCACTGGCTAAAGGAAATGCATCATTTCCTCATTATGTGACACTAGACTCCCACTGGATCATGAGCACTGTCCTTACTCATCTTCACAGATTATTGCCTATACCATCTCTGGTAAGTAGTTCACTGTATGTATCACTCTGTTAGTGTGTATGTGTGAGCCTTAACCTAAGATTTCCAATTCATGTAAGATAATGGTAATGGAATGGGAAGTACAATTCCTACATTCTGAAGGATGGGTGGAGATATTGCTGTTCCGAGGGTCACTTTAACTGTGATGAACATGCATGTCTGGGAAGAGCTATTGAGTGAATGATTGTGAATGTCTTTTGTTCTGTGAGAGGGCCACTGTACCTTGATTTTGTGGTAAAAAAAAAAGACTTGTAAGTCAAAGAGAAAGTTAACATTGAACTTTATTTCCTAGCATCCTCATCTACTTTAAATTTGTTGGTACATTTGTATTTGTGATCCTTTGACAGTTAACTTGTTATAGTGTCTTGGTATAAGATACCTATTTCTTGATTCTTTCTCCACTAACTATTGAACATAGTAGGCAATATTTTGGTATATGCTGTACATCATTTATCTACACAGAAATATTCCTCAGTGTCAATAAAAAACTAAATCACCTTTTATCACATTTTTTGTCTTTTCAGAAAGAAACAGAAGGTTTAAAGATTTTGCCTTCACTGGACACTTGCCTATTGACTGAATGGCAGCTTGATGGTTTAGCTCGGGCCAGAGTGTCTTACTACTTGTCCAACATTCACATTACATTGCAGGTAACACGTTACATCAATTTAAGCTGCAGAACATTTTAGAATGTGTTTCTGTAATCTAGTTAAAGGAAACTAATGTAATAATGTATATAGACATCATGTGATTGCCTTGTATCATTGTGATATACTGTATATATAACCGCTATGCAGACTTTGCTGGGTTAGGCAGTAATATGTTCTATCATTGTCTTCTACAGTCCTTGTGCGAGTTAGTTGGAGAGATCAGCAACATGGTAATAAGCGATGAGGTGGGTGGGTGGGTGTGGGGAGCAGTGGAGGAATGGAGTGAATGTGGTCAAGCAGCTCGAGAAGGAAGGCTACAAGAAGCAACTCTCTATTGCAGTCGATCCTTCACCCAAGCTGATGCTGCATTCTTCCATCCTTCCATGTTGGCACTACTTTACTTTCCTGACAACCAGAAGTAAGTAAATTTGTGCTCAACTTGGTAAAAAAACAAAACAAAAAAATTATTACTATTTCTCATTAAATATTATTTTATTAAGAAATTATTTTGGTAAAACAAAAACACTTACAAGTTTGAGATTTCATTGAATGACATTTTACTCAAGTGCAAGCAAAGTGTCACCCAACACTCAAATTGTTGGGCATTACCTCAACTTTATATTTTCCATTTTTCACTTTGCTGTTCTTTGTAAAAGTTGTGTTACTGATATGTTGTTTAGCATTTGAGTGTAGTTAGCAAAATAAAATTTCTTACAGAAAATAAATAAGAGTGAACGACAGATAAGCCGTATAATTTAAGAATAATTAATATATACATGTACATTAATAGAAATGATGGCTCATATTTGAACAAATTTTATTGGTAATGAGATTCTTTTTATCTCTGGACAGGTATGCAATATACGTTCCTTTGTTCCTGCCCGTGAGCATCCCTGTCATTCTCTCCCTCAAAATGGTACTGGGACTGTACTGGAAACCCTCACCCAGAAAGGAGAAGGTGGAATAATGCATGTATTGTCTATGCTTTCTTGGAATACATATTATATCTTGTAAAAGTTGTATTTATGAAGAAGAAATTCACATTACAGTAACTGAAACAATTTATAATTAACCCACCACTTGAAGAGGAAACTTTAACACAATTTTGGTCTGCCTAAGGCCTTCATCAGGTCACAACTTTATAATAACATATGAAGGAATTCAAGGAAACTGATTAGCTGGACTTGAGTCCTGGAGGTGGGAAGTACACTACCTGCACTGAAGGAGGGGGTGAGGATATTTGCAATTTGGAGGGGCATCTGAACTGTATTATCTGTGTGCCTCTGCAAAAGTTATAGAGTGAATGATGGTGAAAGCATTTCTGTTTTTGGGTCACCCTACCTTGGTTATAGACAGCCAATGTGGTAAAAAAAAAAAATGATAGTCTGGGATAAACTGAAACTTTATCTGTTTTCTTCCAAATTGTGGATTAATCATGAATTTTCCATAATTTTATTTCACCATTGACAAATATGTCTTGATTTACAATCCTCAAGGGAATATTTTTATGGTAAGTTTGTAGATCTATTTTGAAGTTTAAAGATTAGAATTCTTATGGTATGTCAAGTGTGTGTGAATGCCTGTATATATGTGGCTCAAGTGTTGTACATACCTGCAGGAAGGTAAGTTCATGCAGAGTTACATCTCTGTTTCATCTAGTTCATATTTTACAATAATATTATATAGTATGCTGTACTGTATTCATTTTATATCCTGTATTATAATGAAACTTTAATTTTCAATAATCTGTTTGTTGATCATTTCTTTGGTAGTTTGAAAAACTAATGGATGGAATTTAGCTGAATTTTGTAGGCATGCAAAATGATAATCATTTTAGTAAATAAGTTTAGTGAATGTAAATGTAGGGTCCCAAGATTACCTCTTGGCTATTCGTTTCAACATAACAGTTGTTAGGCTGCATGTATACTGTTGCTTGGGTATCATAAATCTCATTCTCAGAGTTTTTTGGGTGTATATTCAGTAGAATACGTAAAGTGATGTACAAGAGGCCTCTAGCTTAAAAACACCCCAAGGTACATACATTCACACTTAAATGGTAGAAATTTAATAACCATTTAAAGTATATAACCTTTGAACTACAGTACAGGCATATGCGAAATATAACCTTCTTTCATACTATTTGTTTTCAGTATGAACAAAGCATTTCTAATTTGAGAATGCAACTCATTAGTAGTTATAAACTTCCTGTATAGTTACTGTTGCAGAATAGGAACTTGATGCATTAAGTATTTCAAAATGTAATACATACAGCATTACTGACCCATTAGCGCCATTTTCAAATTGTGGCAGGTGTATTGGATTTCGACGCAGCATTCAGTGTTTTTTGTAGCATCCACCTCTATATGTTGTAACTATAGTGTTAGTAATCATGCTGTATTTCCTAGGGAACACTTCAGAGAAACTTCTGACAGTAGGAGAGACTTCAGGCAGCTTTGTCTAATGAAAATACACTTTTATGTTTCATCCTCAGTAAGTTCATTGAATCTTTATCATATATTCCTTCACTTTTTCATTCCATAATGTTATTCATCTTATCACACAGTTCCCAGTGCATCATTCTCATGAACTGCATTTCTGTCACCCCTCGCATCTCTTATCTTTTATTTTTTCCAGCATCCCTCAGCTCTACTTAACCCTAAGTTGCTGTATATTCTTTTGTGCCAACTATTATCATATACAGTTCCTGAAGAACTGAATTCTAGGTTTCATTCTGCCTTCCATAAATTTAGGTCGAGAGACACACAATGTCACAAAATCTCCTCTTCACATCTAGTTATGTTTCTCCTTTTTATATAATCCTGGGAACTTTTCTCTTTTGCACAAATTGTTTTGCCCACTTATCATTCCACTGTGCCATATTGGCACAGTAACATACTCAAAACATAAATTTCTGAGCTTAAGTGACCATGTACAAGACTACTATACTTTGCAGTTTACCTTTATTTTAAGGGAAAGCAGAGCCCACTAGACCACCTTATAAGAACCACCTTATTTAAAGCTTTATCTTGTTTCTATCTAATCTTACTTTACTTTTATATTGCCTTGTACATTGTGTAAACTTTTTTACTTTGAGTGTTTATGATTATTTTTCTCTTGTTATTATTAATAACCAGTAGTTTATAAATCTTTCTTTCTTCTTTCAATGTACCAGCCATATCCCACCGAGGCAGGGTGGCCCAAAAGGAAAAACGAAAGTTTCTCCTTTTACATTTAGTAATATATACAGGAGAAGAGGTTACTAGCCCCTTGCTCCTGGCATTTTAGTCGCCTCTTACGACACGCATGGCTTATGGAGGAAGAATTCTGGTCCACTTCCCCATGGAGATAAGAGGAAATAAACAAGAACAAGAACTAGAAAGAAAATACAAGAAAACCCATAGGGGTATGTATATATATGCTTGTACATGTATGTGTAGTGTGACCTAAGTGCAAGTACAAGGAGCAAGACGTACCTGAAATCTTGCATGTTCATGAGACAGAAAAAAGGACACCAGCAATCCTACCATCATGTAAAACAATTACAGGCTTTCGTTTTACACTCACTTGGCAGGACGGTAGTACCTCCCTGGGCGGCTGCTGTCTATCAACCTACTACCTAGGTAGTTTATAAATGCTTGTAGAATTAGCTTTTCTGTCAGCAGAGAAATCTGATCTTTGTCATATCAACCATTCTTCCATTTCATGTTAAAATTATAGCCTTGAAATAGTCTCTATCAGAGGAGTGTATTTGAAGGCCTAACAGATTTCTGTCACCAGGTTGGAGTTAGAACTGTATAGATGATGATCAACAATCATCTTACATAAGCTACCCTTGCTATACTTCAAGAGCTGTTGTTTTCCCCTTCCTGTCCTCTATCTCTTTCGCACATTTAGTGAATTTAATAATAATAATTTACTCTGCCGTGCAGCATCATATGATCCTTATAGGTTTAGCACTCTGTAAATATAATACAATACTTTAATAATAATGCAGTTTTATTGAATTATCCTTAGTTAAAGATTAAATAACTGTTTACTAATAACAATATAATAATATTTCTACAAGTACATGTACAGTACAAGGTGTACAGGCCTAACTGACATTAGTGATGTACTACTATATAGAAAGTCCCTGGTTATGCAGAGCATTTTGGGCAAATTAGGTAAATTTTGTCCCCAGGATGTGACCCACACCAGTCAACTAACACCCAGGTACTTATTTTACTGATAGGTGAATATAGACAGCAGGTGTCTTAAGGAAACACATCCTGTTTCCATCCATACCGGGAATCACTCCCGGACCTCAGTGTGTGAGCTAAGTGCACTACCGATTTAGCTACAGGACGCCATCAGTAATTGGTATTTCAACCAGCTGTACCATTCAAAAACAAAAGGAAAGTTCCTTGATACTTAAGGGCTCTTGATCCAAGGAATTGGAGCTATCCTCTCCTTGCAAACTTGATTACCACCCATTCATTTGGTGCTGTATGAGCCCAATGGGTTTGTTGCTTTCTCACAATTTTAATCATTATCCTCTTCCTTAGATTATTATTATTATTATTATTATTATTATTATTATTATTATTATTATTATTATTATAATCAACACTAAGCACTAAACCACCAAGGTCATATAGTGTTCCTTAGATTAAACCTGATTACCTCGTATTTTCCAGGGGTTGAATGTCCCCTATCGGTTTACTACTTCCCTATGAATTTTCCTTCAGAGGGGGGGAGGGTCCCTGATACTATTGAATGACTTCAAGAAATTGGAGCTACCCTTTCTTTTTCTTAGATCACAGTGGCAGGTACCACTGTGATCCCGCCTCCTCCTGCATCGACTCCCCTGACTGCAGTATATAAGCCACCTCTCTGACCCTATGCTGTCCTCATCTCGCTCCTGGTCTGTCCGATCACACAGTTGCTCTACACTCAAGAAGCCTCCCTTCGACCCCGCCGGGTTGGGAAATTGATATTCTATAAACGTCACAACCTTTTCACAATGCTGTTGCATCGTGTGAAAGTCAAGCCTGTGAATGGTGCAATAAATGACTCCTTGAAGTTAGCTTTAGCTACCGTCGTTAGGACCTGCCTGCAGGTCAAATTTACGGCAATCCACTCTGAAGGACTCCTTCATTGTCGTCTGCACAGACGACACAGAAGCATCAAAACTAATGGAAGACTCCTTAGTCAGGACCCTACAAACACCACAATTTACTCTATCCCCATCTCCATTCTTTAAGTCGAAACGTTCGGTCTTTGTGAAAAGACTGGACAATATCGTCACCTCTCTCTCTACTGAAGCACTGAAGACGTCTATTGAGGAACAAAACACCAGGGCCTCGGTAGACAGTGTCTCCAAGATCCCTAACGCCTCATCTATGCTAAAGATTACATTCTCAGACATCTCCATGGCTGCCCAAGCTCTCTCTGACGGTCTGGCCATCTCATATTACCACATTCACCCTAGTCATATAGAACAAGAACGTTTCACATACATCTCCCACTGCTGGACCCCCTGCTACTATAAACACAAGGACTGCCCCATCAAGGATAAGAAGTTTTGCTCAAAATGTGGGAATGATGGACATGATTTCAGATCCTGCACCATTACTACAGCACCAACATGTCTTCACTGCAAGGGTAATCATCGCACCCTTACAGCTAAGTGCCCACTCAGGAAAGAAATCATCATGAAGAAAACTAAAGTTCTGAAGAACACCTCCAATTTACCGACATACGCTGCAATAACCAAACCACAAACCGACACCACCAAGACTACACGCTAATCTACAGGCACCATCGCCCAGCAACTCCCTCTCTCCACTCCCAGACGGTGCTCCCTCCAAGGTGCTGTACTGGAAATATAAACACATATGCAGTATAATGTGATCCTTTATTGACAACGTTTCACCCACACAGTGGGCTTTTTCAAGTCACACACAGATCTGTGTGACTTGAAAAAGCCCACCGTGTGGGTGAAACGTTGTCAATAAAGGATCACATTATACTGCATATGTGTTTATATTTCCACTGTGTCGGTATTTGATACCATTTATTTCCAAGGTGCTGTACTGCATGGTGTATGCACACCTTGCAAACGCAGCAAACCCCGGCACTTTCAACACCACTATTAACGAACTATTCCGTCTGAACAACATTCCTGCCTAAAATTTTCCGGACTCCACACCTTCAGCAGACATCCTCAAGATCCTTCCCAACTCCCTGAACTTTACTGCACCTGCAGACCTTTCTCCTGCCCTAGCAACTGCTCCTGTAACTTCTATAACCACTTCCCCCCCTCAAGGAAGGTTCCTTGATGTTGGTGAGGGGCTCTTGATTTAGGGAATTGGATCTGTGCTCCAGTTCCCCGAATTAAGCCTGAATGCCTTCCACATCCCCCCACCCAGGCGCTGTATAATCCTCCGGGTTTAGCGCTTCCCCTTGATTATAATAATAATAATAATATAACCACTTCCACCGCTGACAACGTTGATCATGCTGCCTCAACCACTGTCTCCCACCTCTCCCAGCCTGCTGTTACACAACCATTACACCTCTCCACTGCTCCTGTGGACCCTCAGTCGCCTGCTACCACCATTGTAGATTCGCCCAATGAATCCACTCCAGAAGAGGAAGTTAGCGACGACTCCAGTAAACCCTCATGGGAAAACCTTACGTTCTACACCACTTCT